TCATAAGCGAGTACCTTGTTTTCTCATGTTGAGTTGTTTTCGCTTCAAATTGTTTATAACTGTCATTTAATTATCATTACTCGTTAATTGCCTTTTCACTAATTGTTATCTTAAAATCTTGAGTTTAATTTTTGATTGGTCCTTTTTCAAAACCCATTTCTTTAAATTTGGCAAGAGTTGGGAAATGCGCATCCATTCTATGATTGCGCTAATAAAGACATAACATTTATATTTCCCACACTTCGCCTCTATTTCTAGGTATGTACTTGTATTTAAATTATTTACTTTTATTTTTCTTTTATATAAATTTAATGTATTTTGGAATTAATTAAGATTTGAATTAGTACACTGAAAAAAAAAATAATTATGGTTTTTGTAAATACGCTTATTGCATTTATATCTTGTTTAATTATTTTGACAATATTAAATATAGTTAGCTAAAGGGAAATAAGACATATCAACAAGTACAACTCTTCTATGTAGGGAGAAAGAATTTTCGTAATTCTTAAATATGTAAATCGTTTTGAGAAGTGCATAATGACGAGCAAAAATTCTATTCTTAAAACTTTGTAAGAGCTGAAAATTTGTTAGCGATATGTAAATAATTATCTCTCTATTCCTAGCTGAATTAATTAATACTTGATTTTTTTTTATATGTCTACTATGTCAAATAATTTGTATATTGTTTTATTGTGAAAGTTGCTATGTTCTTGTGTCACATCCGGTCATCATGGTTTCATACATGTTTTATGTATATATTCTGTAACATTTATTTCAACTTGACCGTGTTACTTTAATTTAAAGATCCATTCTATGATTGCGCTAATAAAGACATAACATTTATATTTCCCACTCTTCGCCTCTATTTCTAGATCAAGGACAAACCTGATTACAAGGATAGTCTAATTGACAAAAAGAATTGTCTCGATATACGGATCGGGCTCAGTTAACTAAAAACATACCCAAACCGTCTGAGACATTAGTATAAATATTACTTTTTACAGTACACACAGATTTGATATACTGCGTATTCAATGGTCATTTCAGACTATGTACAATTTAATACCTTCTGTCTGAGTTCATCACCTTCTTATGGGATCTGGTTGGCTAATATTCAAAATTTCAAATTTTCTTAATTTTGGCGGAAAAAAAAATTCTATTCCATGTATAAGCTTTTGGAGATTTGATTGTGTGGATGAAAATTTATAAATAGTTTTCTATAAAATACATTTCATGATAAACATGCATCTCTTCATGTCTTGAAAACAACGATAATTAACCCCCTCCCTTTACAAACACGACAGTGATTTAACAATACCTTTTTCCCTGTAAAGCAATATTTGTTGATTTATCCACGCATCTTCTTGTTCAGATTCTATGGCCACCAGATAAGCTCCCATTGTTGAACATTTTTGCTAAAGAAAATTATTTTTTTATTTTTTACATAAATTATTTAAAGGACCCGTGTATTTGATTTTCAGCATTAACATTTTTTAGATTCTTTAACCCTCTACTCACTCATATTAAATATTGATTTTCCAAAAGAAATGCATTTTATATGTAAAAAACAAACAATTTTAGCATAGCTTGCGGGGCAAAACTGGACAAAAAAGACACCTAACTTGGCAAATATATAAAAGAAAAATAGACATTCAGAAAAAGTTATCTCTCTTATCAGAGTATCAATGAATTTTACTGAATACCTGAGCAGAAGTCCAGTTTACTTTCTGATGAACAAAGCAGTACATAGATCGCTGGTTTTCCTTCCAAACATCCGGACAATCTACTTCCTCTTCTATAAAAATGATATATAGTAGAACAAACTTAACATTGATATCAAGCTAACAACAAACTAAATTTTATATCCCTTTGCCTTTAAATACATATTGTGATCCACACGTATATACATGTATAAAACTATGCTTAAAATAACGCAAAATCATCCCTCATTTAGCTTACAAGTAAAAATGACCAAGAAACGGATATTTTGTTATATGTGAATATTGTTTGTATGCTGGTTTATTTAAAAGACTTAATTTTAATTGTAAAGAATCTTTTAGCGCGGGTGCTGACTTTTCTAGAAGCCAAACATGGTTGAATAATTGCCGACTCGGCGTTAAACAATATAAATTTCCATTTCTTTATTTTTTTTTCTCTGATAACTCTTTAAAAGTTAGTGGAGTTGATTTCTTGATAATTCTACCGGAATGTAAATTATGTAAACCGATAGGTCAGGAGCTAAAGAGGCCTAATACACTTGTAAATCTCGTGCGCTTCTGTCTTTGTGTTTGGCTTCAAGGAGGCCAAATATGCATGTGTCGCATAATATTTGGTCCAAGTCAAGTCAAGTCAAGTAAATTTTATTTATAGTCGGCACACATATACAATACAACAGAAACTAGAGGTACTGTGAGCAATGAGCTCACTAAATGATACCCCCGCCTCCCATATGAATATATTGGCAGTATCCATGTTTTGCTCTGGAAAATCCAAAATATATGTCAGATCAAAAAGTAAAATAGGAGGTGCACAATGGCAATATGTAATAAAGATTCTGTGAAAGTTTCATTAAATTTCCTTCAGTGGTATGAGAGGAGTTGCGGATAAGAGATGGGTACCCAAAAGCGTAACAGACGGACGGAAGGACGGACGGACGGACGGACGTACAGACGGACGGAAATACCGATTACTATATACCCTCCCGCTTTTCAAGCGGGGGGTATAATAACATGAGCTGTGGTGAGCTCTTTAACTGACTTTAACATATTTACACAGAGATAAAAATTAGTAAAAATATACATGTTAGTAAAACAAAAGATAATTTAAATGAAGCCATTTAAAATGACACTTTAAGGATAAAGAAAAAAAAATCATAGATACTAGCATCTATTACACAGAATAAACTAAAAAAAAAGGCAACATATATTGTTTTGCACACGGGTGATTATCACAGTCCTAATTAGCATTGATCATGCTGATTAAAAACAATAATTGAGAGAAATAAATAATTAAAGCGCAGTACAGTACATAACATTTACAAATTAAATATTGACAGAAATGAAAGTTGAACAACAAGGAAAGCAACATAGAAAGCATGCAATTTTTCATATGCTTTTGCACACATATGGACATTCACAGAATACAATAATAATAGCAGAAGAGAAAAAAATAAATAAACAAAACAAAAGCGTACACACACAAATAGTTAAAATGACCGCAAAAACATTTAGGAAGGCTTCTCAGACAAAGGCAGCATGGACTGGTATTTACATACACTACAATTACATTTTTGATATCCACACCAGGTAGATATGTAGTTCTTGAATAAATTAAATGATGTGGTATTTCAGATATCATTGGGAAGGGTATTCCATGTCCTTGCTGCCTCATATCTGAAGGAACCTTTTCCATACCTTGTAGTTTTGGGTCTGGGAATTTCTGCGGCTTTAGAATACCTAAAATTATATTATGTTGCATATTATAATAGCTTTTTTCCATCTACAATTAAATTATGGAATGATTTACCAGATACCTTAAAATCTGCAACAAGTGTAGCAAAGTTTAAACAGTGTATACAAAACTAGAAGTACTGTGAGCAATGGGCTCACTAAATGATACCCCCCGCCTCCCATATGTGTATAAATGGCAGTGTCCATGTTTTGGGAAACCCAAAATATGTGTCGGATCAAAAAGTAAAATAGGAGGTGCACAATGGCAATACATAATAAAGATTATGTGAAAGTTTCATCAAATTTCCGTTCGTCTGTTACGCTTTGGGGTACCCATCTCTTATCCGCAACTCCTCTCATACCACTGAATGAAATTTGATGAAACTTGCACAGAATCTTTATTACATATTGCCATTGTGCACCTCCTATTTTACCTTTTGATCCGACACGTATTTTGGGTTTCCCGGACACAGCAAAACTTGGACTTTGCAATTATATAACTATATGGAGGCGGGGGGTATCATTTAGTGAGCTCATCGCTCACAGTACCTCTAGTTTAATCATAACTTAATTGATTCACCTAAATGCTTAAAATGTGGATATTTTTCTGAAGACTGTTCATTTTGTCTTTCAATGCCCATGACGGCCTGTCCAATCCAGCATTAGATTTGTTAAAGAGTTATATATCAAATAGGAAACAGTGTGTTAAGATTGGTTCCCATTTAAGTGAAATGTTGGATATTCTGAACGGTGTTCCTCAAGGATCCATTCTTGGACCTATATTTTTTTTTTTAAATATTTTTATCAATGACCTGTTCTTTTTTGTTAAAAACTGCAAACTCTACAATTATGCAGATGACAATACTTTAGCAAAATCTCATAAAACTTTACAAAATGTTATAAACTCTGTTTTTAGTTTTAAGAGGAGTAGGTCATGGGGAAGGCAGTTAAAAGCCTTTGATAGATCCATCAAAATCGCAGCTAAATATTCGTTGTTATCAAGGGGATGTTTCCAGTCTTCAATAACCCGTAAGAGGGTAAAAATTGATTGACATCCAAAACCTGGTCTAAGAGCAGCCAAAAATGGATTAAATTTTTTTCAAAATAAGCAGACAATTGTATTTCAATGGCTTTTTCAAAAATTTTTGAAACAACAGGGAGCACAGTGACAGGTCTGTAATTGTATTTAATAAGAGCATTATTGGTGTAACCTGAGCTTCTTTAAGCTTGTCGGGGAAAATTGAACATGATAAAGACAAGTTAATAATGTTTGTAATAGGTTTTACTATAACGGGCTCTGCCAAATGTAGTAATTTGGATGATATACCATCAATTCCCGTAGCCTTCTTTACATTTGTTTTGCTAATCCTTTTCTTAACAAAATTTTCGGTTACACTAGTAAAAGAAAATTCTTCAGGAATCGGGCGAGGTGTGCCGAGTGATGCTTAATCTAAAAATATGATAATGGGTGACGCAACCCAATGTGATGTAGAAATTTTCTAAAAGGTGTTTACATGTAAACATGTAAAGTACAAGAACATATCTTAAATTAATTTATAACGAACGGTGTTTTAACTACTTTTCCATCTAGCCTATTTCAAAAAAACGTACGTGCCGTGTGTTTGTGGTGTCGGGGGGGGGGGGTATTAGTAAATTTAAAAAGCTCCTATTATGAGCAAAACATTTATCAAAATATAATTTACATCATCAATTAAATTATGGGTTTTTTTTCAGACAGGTAATGAATTAAGCATATAAAATATATATAAGAGGTTCTGAGTCATATGTCACAGGGTCTGGGGATTTTTACACTCAATTTGATGAGTACATGTTCTGTGCACAGGTGCTTGAGGACAGGACCCCTCTCCCCCCTTCGATATAGACCCCTGGGCTTTTTCTACTTTTTTCTCATAAATAATCTTTTATTGACATATTTGTGATAAGATCTATACCAACAAATCAAAGAATTACACATGTACCGAAAACAAATGTTCTATAAAATCTACCCTACATTCAATATATTAAAATCAACTAATTTATATATAGAGAGTGGGGTAGAAATTTTTAAAAAATGTTAGTTTAAGCAATTTTTCTGATTTGATGGGTAGATTATATCACAAGTATGTCATATATATATTTTATGTGAAAAAAGTCTAACAGGCCCGGAGTTCTATATTGGGGGGGGGGGGGGGATTCCTGTCCTCAAGCACCTGTGGTTCTGTGTAAATTATAGATTTATTTTGACTTTTTCCTTGGAAAGCCCAATATGTAGAAGTGTGTATTTAGAGGCAAACAACTTAGTGCGGGTATTACTGTCTCATGGCAGCATCTAGTTGAAAAAATCATCGATGTGTATACTTTTTCTTGAATTTGTTCTCGTCCAATTAAAACACAGGGAATTAATAAATAAAATCAAGATTGGAATTATAAGGACGTAATATAAACGCTGTATTCTCGTCTGCCATGTGTTTAACTTCCTTGTTCCGGCAGGTGAGTTTTACTGAAGTTTACATCACCATAATAAATTCGCAAATTTTTTTTCTCATTCAAGATATATCTATCTTTAAATAAAAAAATAACTTAAATAAATAAATATGTGAAAAACTTGTTGGAACACTTTATAGCTATACTGTCATGTTGATTGTCTATCGGTACATGCAAATGCGACTTTTTCGATCGCATGCATGCGTCCAGGCGTGGATTTATTTAATTTTTTTAAACTTCACTTTAGAAATTTAGTATTCATATTTAAAAAGTTTATGCAAATAATACAAACATTTTTAATCAAACATGTACATCAATTTATCTCTGCCTCTAAAAGAGTTGTAACTTGAATATTACTTGTGGCAGTATTGTTGTTATTGTTATACAATTAATTACCCCTTGTGAGGTCAACATGGTGAAATAAGGACCCGAGACCTGGCCCACGAGGTGACCGGACCGGACCGAGGCCGCGGAGCGGCCGAGGTCAGGGCAGGTCACCTCTTTGGCCAGGTCTCGGGTCCTTATTTCACCATGTTGAACTCACAAGGGGTAACTGTTTTATTATACCGATATATATTGAAAAGTATGAATCTCTGAACCGTTATCAGTTCTTTCTTTGATCGGGATCGGGATTCGCTACAGACCGGAAAGTGAAGTTGTTTACATTGAGTGATTGACTTTTCTGCAAGTCGTGTAAGTTTAAGCATCATGACTTACTGATTAAAACAATATTTGGTTGATAGCGACATACATTGTTATATCTAACGATTACTTTTCCTCTGCACAGTCAAAATCTAACACAGAATTCAACTCTTTAAAGAGCCGCCTCTACATTCTATTGAACTGAATTGTAACGATATAT